TGGTCAGCAAAACATCGTCCTCTCGAAAAAACAGCTCCATTGTTCTAGTCATACTTTGGCGCAAATTTCTGATAACATAGTTCTGTTATCACAGCCAAAGATGTCTTGTCAAAACAAAAAAAACGGTCAGCCGTTACTTCGTGTGCGGCTTAGCAGACGACACAGTTAATTTTTTATATCTATCCAAAGCCCTGTATTTCACCTGTTCTTTGTCAATTATCAAAATAACATTTTCAATTGGAGTTTTCTTGGCTAGTCGGTCTGTGGTTTGCTAATTAGATGTTTTGCCTGCATTACGCGGCTGTTATCTATCCCCGATAACACAAGTTCGTCGCCAGAACATAGTCGATTCCCTTATCCACTTAGAATTTTTCTGCCATGGTAATGACACTTTTCGCCATTTGCTACTTATCAAAATAACATTGTCAATTGTCTCTGGTCGTGGGTGTTTTTTTTATCATCTACCCTTGGGTCTCGCCTCTCTTTTCCTTTCTTTCCTTTCTCTTTTTCCTTTCTTTTCTTTTTGCCCTGGTAAATGGTGCCACACGTCAATCAACATCTGGCACCCTGAGCTTGTTCCCCGTCCTTCTCTGTATCCATTCCCCAAATATGCCTCATTATTCTTGTTCTCAATCCTCTGTAACCCCTTGCGTGATAGTGGCACTCCCGCCTTGCTTGGGGTGAATTGCTTTAAACAATAAAAAAAATAAAAATAAGGGAGGTAGGCAGAGGACATGTGGTGTAAATAGCAATCAATTAATAATTAAAAATAATTAAAAAGATTAGCAATATAAAAGGTTTTGCTTAAAGAATAATAAGCAAGAAAACGGATTGACAAACAAGAATTTTATACAAGGCCCAAGAGCCAATCAAGGTAGGGGTTTTCAGAGTAAGCGGTACAGATATGTGGGAAATATATCAGTTGACCGTGGATTTCAATAGGTTAAGATTATAGTTATCTGAGAAACATCTTCTTGGGAGTCGGTTCCATCAAGCAGCGGTTCTTTGGAAGAGGCTGCTCGAGAGGAACATACATCTCACCAATGTAATAATAAGGGAATGAGAGTGGTTCGCTACAGTGGGCGTGGCATGACGGCTTTAATTTCGAAGGATAGAACTAGTGGAAAAGGAATGTAGTTCGTGGGAGCACTTTCCATCGAAATACCGATAGAACAGAAGGAGGCTTGTGACGTTTAGTCTGTGTGAAAGGAACTGGAGAATAGAAAATAGTTCGAATCTTTTGAACTCTATCGAGACTGGAATGGTAAGACTGTACAGCTCCAGTCCTGATACGACAGCTTTACTCTATTTTCGGTCTGATTTGTTTGGTTTGTTTTCTTTTACGGCATATCAACCTCAGTGGGTCATTTAATGCCGACAACTTTTTTTTCCTGGTAATATTTTTGTTTTGTCAAAAATCTATTTCTGTTAATATTTTTTCCCCAAAAATCCTACAGCCGGCAACACTATCCTTTCAAAAACGTATAGCTGGTAATATTATTTTTTTCAAAAACGTACAGCTGGCAACATTATTTTTTTTTCAAAAACGTACTATCAGAGGCCTTGTTGTTGGACGTAGTTTATCATCTTACCCAGGATGCGGATGTAGTTTATTGTCATAACCTGGACGCGGATGTAGTATATCGTCATTCTCAGGACGCGGTCTGATTTGGCTCTTGTAAAAGTAGAGAATATAAAGAAGGATCAGGTAGCTAGTGGAATGGTACAGGGAATTTGTTGGTGTTGCAGCTATAAAAAAGAGAAGATATAGAATATTAAGAACACTGACTACATGCAAATAACCACGCTATCTCCCTTAAGTGAACATCATGGAAGAAGTGTTTAGGTTGAATGAGAAACTACATGAAAGATTTGCAAACAATAAGTTTTAGTGATGATTCTTGAGCCACATTTACGGTAAATCAAAACTGGATTAAAGATTGGATCCCTCATTAAAATAGTCAAATAATAAAACTTACAAAACAAAAACGGGAAGATAGACTAATTTTTGGGTGGTACTATATGTAGTATAATTATAGCTTTATTTGCGAGATGTCTTACAATTATGCATTTCCCCAATTTTATGTAAAGATATAATTGTCTCTCGCAATGGGGGTATCATATTTTCACGCAAGTGAATCGACTTCAAGTCAGGGGAAGAACGCAAAGTTTCAGGTTACTTCAAGATAATTTACGTTACGGTTAATTGCATGCATCTGTTGTGTTTTCTTGTTTAGTCATTAGGGGAAAATGGGTAAGCAAATGTAATATACAGCGAAAACCTTTTAGCAGAAATCATTTTGGGTCTATTAGAAAAAAAGGAGTGGTGCTGAAAAACACCAGTGTCGACTACTGTATCCGTTATGAGAAAAAAAAATAACTATAGCAAGTACTGTTCAAAAGCGATATTAAAAACACGTGCGATCTAAATGTACTACGAACAACTTTTTTAAAAAGAATATAGATATCACCCATGCAAGGCAATAAAGCCTCTAAGACACAAGGGTATATTGATTGTGGAAGAGTTAGGAATAGAAACTTTACTATGGAGCAAGAACAAAAAAAAAGAGTAATCAGGAGGGCAGTAGATAGCGGTTGGCATTGCATTTACATTTTTGAAGAGTAAAGTTGGCTGGAAAGCATGAAGACGACAGGCAAGAAGGGCGAGAAAATAAACTGTTAGCATAGAACTTACGGCTACATCTAGGCAACACAACTTTAAATTGATTGGCCATCGTCGCCAGTCTAACAATGCGATTAATTTACAAAAATATCGAGGTACCACAGCGAAAAGCTCTGTCAAACAATTACCATGAAAGTATTTATTTTTAAAAAAAATGGCACAGGCAGACAGACACCAAGCTGCCAGATCAGGACCAATAATATTGCTGATACTTCTTTTGGATTTTATCCTGAATCTCAAGATATATGGATATAGAAAAAGACACAGGAAGGCAACCTTGCGGTGGTGGGAAAGTGACTGAAGCCGAACCGCCAGAACGGGACTATTGCAGATTTTTCTTTGGATTTTTACATATTTTGTAATGGTAATGAGAATATTAAACGTTTTCTTATATTAAATATTTGATATTTATTAAGCGAGTAGCCAGTGTTGTTTTAAAAATCATTTCGCTCCAAGCAAGGTGATAATTCCACTAAGACGCAAGGAGCTATTGCGAGAGAAAGAGAATCAGAAGACTTTAAAAGGCACCGTAGACACGACACTAAACAGGAAACAAGGAATTAACTGCTACTCTTGTTCAACAAAGCGGGGAGGAGAACGAACAAGGCTATTGGCGAACCTGTCTACTCATCATGCTACTCCAATTTCTCTTTTCTTCACTCCCTGGCTATCGAGCTGGGAACAAATGGCAAACTACATTTTATCTCTCACTTGTGCGTCTATCTTCGGACTTTGGCTTCGGGTTAATCGTAACTGAAGAAAAATATTAAGAGGTGCCCGTTTGACGTGCTTTTGCCGATTGAGGAGCGTTGCGGTTAGCAAGGTCGATTTTACTGTTTTTAAACTACAATTCTCCATGATTTTCTCTCGTACGTTCATATCTGCTCGATGCGTATCCAAATGTAAACAAATGACGTCACACATTATGAATTGGACAAAGTCCGACAATTATTTTAAGACATGTTTTATGTTTACACGTTATCTGTGGATCAATCGGTAAAAGCACGTCAGGCTATATTACGGTTCCTTATAGGATACAGGTTCGATTCCTGGCGAAGGACGAATATTTTCTATGAAAATTTCTCGGACATTCAGGCCGGCAAATATCGTTAATAATGTTTATATATATATATATTTATATATATATATATGTGTGTGTGTGTGTGTGTGTGTAATATATTATATATATTATTATTTATATATTATATGCGCGGTACTTATTAGAAAGCGCTCAATATCAGAGATAGAGCTAACATATTTGGTTGGATAGATGTTAGTTTGTGACCCTGGGTTTTACGCTTTTGCCATCGTTTTCTGACGATCACAAAAGCGTGAAATCCAGGATCACAAACTCACATCAATCAACCAATATATATATATATATATATATATATATATATATATATATATATATATATATATGCCTCATTGTATAATTTAGACAAGTTTTGACTACTTATTTTCAATAATCAATATCCATTTCAATTACTCAACCTTTATCTCATTATTATTTATGAACTTTTATTGAACAAAAATAACTTAGAGTAGTTTAAGATGGTTCAAGATAAACAATGGCTTGCGAGCACTTTAGTGGTTTAACACCACCAAACATTTTCTTGTTGGCTGGGGACTGAAAGATACAGTTACAGGCTCAAACCGAAAACAATTCCTGAACTAAAACAAGTAATTTCTTATAAATATAGAAATATTGATGATAGGGTTCAGTGGTGTATTGAATATGAAAGGGAGAATTTTGAATATGTTAATTAGTTTGTTAATGCTACAATACTTAGGTACTTAAACTACCGTAATTTATTTTTGTTCAATAAAATTCTTTTAATGATCTTGTAAATAATACTGTTTTTTTTTCCAATTTAAATCTAAATTACAGAAAACCAATATTATTTACGAGTTAACATGCCCCTTAAGTAATTTTGTTCCTGATCAAACCAAACTCATAAATAATTACACTACTACATGTCTATCGAGCCGACCATAACCCAATTAGGAATCATTTAAATACAGACTAAAACCTACTAAAGTTCAGACGAATTACACTAGTAGAAAATACAAGGATAATAACCTCATCCACATTAAAAACAAAGGAAGACGAAATTATGAAAAAGGAAAATGAAACCAATATTTGCCAATATAGAAAAATTAAATAAAAAGTTTAACCGCAGTACTTGGTTAGACGTCTTTAATGAAACTAGATAGATAGATAGATAGATAGATAGATATGCGCAGACTGAGATAGATAGATATCTATATCAGTCTGCTCATATCTATCTATCTATCTATCTATCTATCTATCTATCTAGATAGATAGATAGATAGATAGATAGATAGGAACAGACTGATATAGATACATAGATAGAGAGAGAGAGATTGATAGGAGCAGACTAGATACATATATAGATAGATAGATAGATAGGAACAGACTGAGATAGATAGATAGATAGATAGATAGATAGATAGATATGGACAAATTCAGATAGATATATATAGATAGGAACAGACTGGAATAGATTTTGATAGGTGTTTCAATCCGTATTTTTAAAGAGATCGTCAGGTCTATATGAATTTGTATGGGGCACTTTTACTATTTTATACAGTGATGCGAGATTGTTTAGGGCATCTTGTCTTTGTATAAATAGACGTAACCTTGTTATCTACGTCTGTCATAGTTATATATATATATATATATATATATATATATATATATATATATATATATATATATGCGTGTCTGTGTCTGCGCGTCTGTGTTTGTCTCTACGCTCTCACACGGCATGATAGATGATTCGCTCCATATAAGGCGTTGTCCGTCATCCGTGTTAATAGGTCCGATATGCTGTTCCCAAAACAGCTTTTAACCGATTAATAGCGCGACCAGATTTGCAGAAAAGTTGTTGGAGTGGCGGGTAAACTATTATTTTGCCATAAATTTTGGTTCACGTCAATCGAAAGGTTGAGTTACAAGGAAGAGGTAGGGGCTACCGAGACGAGTGAAAGGGAGGGGGGAGGGAGGGGCGAGGAGTAGGGTGAGTCTGAAAACGAGGCAAGAGGTGCTGAATGGAACGGATAGGAAATGGAAATAAGTGAGGAGGAAATAAAAAGAATGTTGACGGGGCGGCGATCAAAACGGAGCCGGGTAGGGAAGGAGAGAGAAAGGCGCAGAGACCGTCGGGGGTTGGGGATGATGACATAAAAGAAAGATAAGAAAGAAACAGCTTGGGGGTTAAACAGGTGGGTGTAGTCAAAGGAAAGGGAAGCGAACGAGACGTTTCAGGGTGACAAATTTAAATTTTAAAAATGGTTCATGATGAAAAGAATGATTGCAAAGTGTGAAGTAAAACTTCTGAAAAAAAAAAATCCATCAGAGCTGGTTCAAGATCTTCTTCTTTCAGAACCTCGGGGAAACACATTCTCCACAGCTTCCTTCTAATACTATTCTTATTGCTTATTCTACAACCCATTTAAAAAAGCACGTTACGCGATGTTGGCTTCTGCCCCTCTTTCTTTCAATAACTGTCTAATCATCTTACACCAAGCCAGGCGATAAAGTCACTAAGACTCAAATGGTAATGGAGGTGAAAGGATATAAGAAAAAATTATTAAGGAGAGAAAACAATAAAAGATAAAGAATTAA